CCAGTAGTTGTAAATAACTGATGTAAGGCTTATAATGTCTTGTTTATGCTTTTGATCTGTATCGGAACATGACATACCGAGGTTTTGATATATAAAGAAAATATATACTTTCTTAAAGAAAGGTTTTAATAAATTTTTATCATGTTTTGTTTTGGGGACCAATTCCGCAACATCTTTTAAAAGGATTTCTCTGACTTTATTTTAAAAGCATAAATTAAATCGGTCTTTTATGGCCGAGAAATTAGGGGATGTCACAACTTGCTTGGAAAATGGCTTCACAACACCAAAATACTCTTCAATGGCCTCCAAAGCTCCAAGAACACTCAAGGAAGGATTAGGGTTTCGTGGTGGCTGTCTAAGAATGATATGGAGGCTGACCATTGAGGCATACTATTCCTTTTATAGTAGCAAAGCCCTAAAATTAGGGTTTAGAAGCTCTGAGCGTACGCTGGGCGTACGCCTCTCCACACCGCGACCATTCTTGCTTATATGCTGGGTGTACCCAGCCGGACACGTGCATGCATCCCTTACATGCATGGGACTTTCTTGCCAAATATTCCCATTAGGGGCTAAAATTGTCAATAACTTCAAAGTGCTATAACTTCTTCGTTCTAATTCCGTTTCCGACGAACTGTATACCCACGGAAAGGTGGCGAGAAGCCCTACGCTTCTAAAAACTCCTCATTACCTTAAACTTCCCACACGAGAGCCCGGAATCTTCAAAAGACCGAGATGTCAATTTACGAATATGCCCTTGGCCCCCGAAGCCACAATCAAATACTTAGATCTCGTATGCCCTAATACTCACATCCGCAATGGGCCAAATCCTTCTTTGCCCAAGGCCCTAACCCCATGAGAACTAATAACTGGGCCGCAACCCCTAGCAACGAAGCACTTCCAGAACCAGGTGTTACACTTTCTTTTTGATATACCATTTTGTTGAGGAGTATATAGAGCTGTATTTTCATGAATGATTCCTACAGATTGGAAATAACTAGGATCATAATACTCACCAGATCTATCATTACAAATTTTCTTGATTAATTCATTTCGTTGCAACTCAACTTCAGTTTTATAAATTTTTAATTTATCAAGGGTTTCATCCTTAAAATGTAATAACTAAACATAGCAAAACCGAGAATAATCTTCAATAAAAGTAACTATGTATTCCTTATTAACTAAGGATGGAGTTACATGGAAATCACATAAATCACTATTTTTTTATACTTGAAAATGGTTGTCTAGTTATTTTAGTTAACATGCAGGTTTTACACATCTCTAAGTTAACATCAAAAGATAGAATTAAAACATTTTAGACATTTCAAGCATTCTTTTTATAATGTAAATGTCCTACACGAGCATGCCAAAGAGAAGGTTCATCAATACTAGAATAAGTTGTATATATAAAATCTTCAACATTATTATTTACATTTAACTTAAACATACCACAAGTGAAATACCTAAATCCTATAAATATACCATACTTTGATAAGATATACTTATCAGACTCATAAACTTGTATATAACCACATTTATTTAATACACTAGCAGACACCAAGTTCTACCTAATCTTAGGAACACATATTACTTTACTAAGATGAATCCAGAACTAAATAAAAAAGACACAGAACCATGACCAACAACAGGTTCCTTATGATGGTATCCCATATATAACACATAACCATCATTTATTACTTCATACTCCTTACACTAGTGGCAATCTTTACGTACATGAATCGTCGCCGCCGAGTCAATGAACCAAGAATAATCATCATCATGCACATAAAACGTTTCAGGAATTAGTGTTACATGATATATAATAGAAGTAGTATCTCCATAAATACAATTCTGACCTTGTTGTGGTTTTAGAACTTGATCGTTAGATCCTTGTCCAGAAGTGCAATTTCTAGATGTACTTGATCATTCTTGTTCTTCCTCAAACAACAATCACATTTCATGTGCCTCAATTTGTTGCAATTCCAACACATGAGTTTTGCCTTCTTGTTGGAACCTTTCTGGTTGTCATCTCTTTTCTTCCTTTTTCTAGACTTGTTGTTTTTCTGGTTTTTGTCGTCTTCTACCATATTCACAGAAGATCCAAGAACTTATTTTTCCATTCCTTTTCCACTTTCTTGGACCCTTAGGCCCTTCTCAATTCGTAAATGGTTGCCATGTTGTACTAGAGACAACTCTTCTTTTTGGTGTTTTAATGTGTGCTTGAAATCTTTCCAGGATGGGGGAAATTTATCAATGACACTAGAGACAGAAATGGATTCATCCATGTTCATCTTGTTTTGTTCAAATTGTCCTAAAATCCTCATGAGTTCCTTAAACTGTTCCATGGCATGCCTCAAGTCCACTATTTTGTAATTGTTAAAATTACTGATAATAAATTTCTTACTTGAGGCATCTTCGGCGTTGTATTTGGATTCAAGGGCATCCTGCATATCTTTTGCAGATTCATGATTTTGATAGATGTCAAAGAGGGAGTCAGAGATACCTATCAAGATGTGACCACGACAAGTGTAATCATCATTTTCCTACTTGCAGTGTTTTCTGGTGTATTCTGACTTTTCACTCTCTTGGGCTTCTGGTGCAAGGGTACTCAAAACATGCACAACCTTCAACGTGGTAAGAAGAAAATGTATCTTCTTCTACCAACGACGAAAGTCGTTTTCTTCAAACTTATCAAGTTTTCCAAACTTGGAACTCAAGTCCCTAACATATTTTACCATTGTTATTCCTTTACAAAAAGTACAGATTTTGATTGTTAGAAAATAAGAATTTTAGAATAACAATAATACTTGGATATTGTTTGGATCATGATAACTTCACTTTCCGAAATCTGTAATTTATCCCCTATAGTCTGGGGTACACGAATTCAGAAGTGGGATAATCCAAGAAATCTGATTTGAATTACATGCCTAACCCAAATCTTAAACACATAATACCTTGTGATTTTATGTGTTCTTGAGAGACAGAAAACTGATAATGATCAATTACGTATGTATCAAAGTTGAACCATTTTCCTGGATCATTCACATATTATTTATACATGTAGGAAAAGTGGTTAAAATCGGTTGCCTTCAAAATGGTGCCAAAATGATTAGTTATTGCATATAACAAAAGCCTACATCATCATGATTAGTTATTGCACCGCCAGGGGCTCTGCCCCTTAGACCTTGCTAGGGACGCTGCCCCTAACCCCACCATGAGCATTGTCCCTTGGAACTCCGCACCCATGGGTGTTGCCCCCAGAGAGTTTTTGACCAAAATGGGGCTACAGAAAAAAATATATTTATCAATCTAGTATAGTTTGAAAAATATTTACCAAAATACTGTTTTTTTCATTTTTTTTATATTTTATATTTTTCAGTTTTTCGTACTTTTTTTTATTTTAAATATATGTTTATTTACTTTTTTGTTTTTGTTTTGTTTTTTAAAATATCAGTTTTTATTTTTTTATTTTTGTTTTATTTCTTTTTTGTTAATAAAAAATAAAAAGTAAAAACTGAAATAAAAAAAAATGGACCTTTATATAGATGTATTTTCATATTAAAACTATAGATATCTAATTTACCGACGACATTAAGAAAAAGTTAATTGTGATTTTAAGCTAAGTGTGATGTTTTATATAATAAGTACTTATTTTTTTAAATGTATAACCTTCAGTTTTGAAAATTGTAATTGTTAAAAGAAGATGGTTGAAATACTTTTTAGTTGTTTCTAATAAATTTATTTGTCTAAAATTTTACATTTTTTTCAGTATAATCGATAAAAGCTTAAGCTTTAGACAATTTTACATTTTTGGATAGAAAAAATGTTTGAAATATGTTAAGCCTCAATTATAAGCTTATCTGCATTCTAGATTTTTGGATAGGAAAACTATAGTTATGATAAATAATACTAGTCTAGAAGCATAGTTTAACTATGTTGATGAGAACTTTGATTTTATTCTCAATTTGCTTCTATGAAAGGTTCAAGAGTATTCTCAATTTGCATGAAATTATGTGTTTTTTTTATATATTATGTTAAACATATAGTAAAAAAAGGGAAAATTTTGAAATAAAATAAATAAAAAACTGATATTCTTAAAAAAAACTGAAATTAAAAAAAAAATTGATAGTTAAGTAAAATAGAAACAGTTTTAAAAAATGAAAAATACAATAAAAATGAAAAACCACTGGTTTGGTAAATATTTTTGAAGCTATACTAGATTGGTAAATATTTTTTTCAATAACACTATTTTGGTCAAAAACTCTGCCCCCGGACCTGTATACTCGAGTTCACATTTAACACTCCGAATGTGAACTCCGCACCTCCAATCTTGGATGACTAACTGAACTCTACCTACAACAATAATAATTACACTAAAATAAAATATATGCTGAAAATACTAAAATTACCAAAGGGAACTCTTTGTTAAAGAAAACTTTGATGTAAATTTAGCTATAAACAAAGGGAAACCGAGGGTGGGTAGGAACTTGTCACGTCATCCTTTTCCAATACGTAATTTACTTGACAAATTCAATTTTTTTTTTAAATACAAGTTGACCCATTGATAATTTAGTTGATAATACACTTGCCTTTTTTTTTAAATACAAGTTGACCAATTCTGTGAGATGATGACAACTCAATTAACAAGTAAGGGATGTCGTCTCAATTTTAATAGGTACATAAGAACCTCATTCTATCTAATATACTGGAAATTGTTTCCAAAACTTTGTTTAAATTTTCTATAAGCATTTGGTCAACCAATAATGGAGACCCTCCTGGAAGAATTTCAACATCTTAAAATTCAATTGGAAACGATAAAGTTAGCCACAAATAATTTTGATAACAGCAACGTTATAGGAAAAGGTGGATTCGGTGTCGTGTACAAAGGAGTACTCTTTCACTCTAAGGGGGGAAGCGTTGCTGCTTTTAAGCGTCTAGATCGCAACTATGGTCAAGGAGATGTCGAGTTTTGGAAAGAGATCCTGATGCTTTCTCGTTACAAACATGAAAATGTCATCTCTCTCTTTGGATTTTGCGATGAGTATGGGGAGAAGATACTTGTGTATGAGTATGCATCATATGGAAGCCTTGATCGACATCTAAATACAACTACTCTCACATGGAGGCAACGTCTCATGATATCTCTTGCAGCTGCAAAGGGACTAAGCTACCTTCATGATCCCAAGGAGTCACAACAAATAGTTCTTCATCGGGATGTAAAAAGTTCCAACATTTTACTCGATAAGAACTGGAATGCTAAAGTTTCAGACATGGGACTGGCGAAATTAGGACCTGCTAATAAGAAGGACACAGTTATTGTCTCTAATGTTGTAGGTACAGCTGGCTACATAGATCCAATATGTATGGAGACACGCATCCAAACGAAAGAGTCTGACGTATACTCTTTTGGGATTGTTTTATTTGAAGTATTGTGTGGGAGACTATGCTTTGAAGATATAAATGACCATCGCCATTGTTTAGTACCAAAGTGGAAAAAATGCTACGAACAAAAGAAATTAGATGACATTGTTTTTCTAAATCTGAAGCAACACATGGACACGAGTTCACTGGAAACATATTCAGACATTGCATATCATTGTTTGCAGAAATCCAGTGAAGAACGACCAAAAATGTGTGATGTTGTGGAAAAACTTAAGATTGCTCTTCGGTTTCAGGAGATATTTGAAGGGGTGGGTTTTAAAGAGATTATTAAGACCATGGTACCTCCGGTGGTGGCCTACACATCCATTGAAGAACTAAGAATGATTCTCTCCAAAGGAATCCTTGTGAATGAGGGTAAAACGGTAATTAACTAGCTATATTCATAAATGCTTCAAGTTTTATTTTTTTATTGTATGAAGTATGAACAGTAATTAGATATTTCTTAATTTGAAAGTATCACATCATTAAAACCAGATATTGCTTGTAAAAGTATAGAAATTAACTACAATGCATAGACCACCAATAATGATGTAACAAAATGTTTAGCAACAAAACAATACTCCCGAAATCCACTCATCTAAATCTCTCATATAGTTACTTATATCTTGCGTCACCCATAACTTGTTGTTTTAATTGGACAGTGGTTTTCATTAAATAAGAATGGGGAACACTGTGAGTTGATATCCGCAGAAGCATGTCTGATTCCTACTTGCTATAAATCTCCCATGTTTCCATTTTATGGTCGAATGAAATCAAGGTACGTATATATACTTGTCCTCCTCCTTTTTGTTTCTATGTATTTAAACTATTTCATCAATATAATGTAATGTATTGTTTGAATGTTTCATTTGTTGCATCTTTTTGCAGATTTGTAGTAGACAACAATAAACCATATTGTTGGAAATTTAAAACTCATGTGGAAACACAATTTTTGTCACCACATATGACATATACTGTAAGCCTTGTGTTCGATTTTGCTTACACAAGTAAGGACTATTTAGGCCTCACTTACATTTTAGTTGGGGAGACACAGCCTTTGACTGTGTACCATGTTGATAAGAGAGAAGACGGATGGTCAGTGGCTGATCTTTATCAGTTTACTTGCGATGGGAAAAATGTTGATCATGAAATTATGTTCAATTGCAAATGTTTATTGGAAGTAGATGGCATTGAGTTTCAGCCCCTTGAGAGAGTAAGACAACAAATAACTTTTATTCATTTAAATCATTTCGTTTATGTTGTTTTTAGTAGTTCAGGCATTTTTAGAAAATAAACAGCTGGAACATTTCAATGTAAGAAAACCCTGTGGTTCACCTACATTTTGTGGAACAACACACAATTGGAGAATAGGAGTTTTGTTCCATAGTTGATCAATGGCTAAAGTTTAAGTTTTATAGGTGGAACATGAAGTGTTGGGCGATGAGAACATGGATATGCAAAGCAGATCACATTCAGACACATATTGGGAGCAAAAATTGCCAAAGGATTGTGAAGAGATAATCATGTGGTCAAAAGATAGGGTGTCATGGACAACAAAAAAGGAACTCTACTCTATTCTTCGCAAAGGGTTCCTAATCAATGATGCTAAAGAGGTATATTCGATATGAAAGACTATTTCTATCATTTCCATTCTTAAGCGTAGTTGGTTCACTTATTTTTCATATGTAGCTGGTGTAGAGACTATAAACATGGTTTTACTAGTTCAAAGGGAAGAAATACAAAATTCCAAAACTAGTACTTACACATTCATTGATTGACAGTGGTTTTCTCTTGAAAAGAGTGGGAAGAAATGTTATATGGTACCAGCAAGAGTGGCTTTGAAAAGAAAAGAGTGGAGATGGAGGTCATTACCCAAATCAAGGTTCTTTCTCTACCTTTCCTAACCTGTTTTCTTTTAGCCATGTCTATGTTTTACATATAACTCATATTGTTAACAAGGGACTTCAATTGAGTTCCGACTCCACCAAATACGTAACATAGGTTGGTTTTTAACCATATGGGATTTAGTTACTAGATGTTTATCCCAAAAGTTGTGTTACACATATGCATTATGCAAAGTCAAGTGACATATTTGTTTGAGGTTACAAACACTCATTGTGTTTCTCTATTTGGTGAAAATATCTGCCCCCATGATTAAAAATCAATGGGTGACACACAAGATGGGTTTTATTAATAGGGTGCATTGTTGTATTCTTGTAGATTTTCTATTAAACGCGATATTTTCCTATGTAGATTTGGAAAAGTGGCTTTAGACCCTCTTGGCAGCTTTTCGATAAACTGCAGCTCCAAAATGTTGTCGCCCCAAACAACATATGCATGTTATCTTGTTTACAAAATAAAACAAAACCATGAGTCTCCTGTGAAAGTGAACAACGTAATGTCTACAGCTCCTTATCACACACATACATGGTATATTTATTTACTTAGTCCACAAATCCCAATTATTAGACCAAAGATTCATCACAACACCCACAAGCCATTGAATAGATCCAAGAAGAAAGGCCTTCCACAAGAAAGGAACGATGGTTGGATGGAAGTACAAGTAACCGAATTCCAAACTGACACTACCAATGAACTGATTTTCGAGAATCTTCAATTGACCTTTCCCGAAAACAAGAGGCATAAAGGTCTTATTGTACAAGGCATTGAGTTCAAACCTGTATAGGTTCTTTTATTTATGACTAGAAATTGCCCCCTTCCCATTTCGGGGGATGCAGACGAGGTTTTGCTTACTATTTTCTAGTCATACAAAAGAAAGTACTAATTTTCTATTAGTTAAGGACTACTTTTGTAATTTTTTTAAAATATGGAGCGTTTCTGTAAAAAAAATACATAATGACATTTTCTATAATTTATAGGGACAATTTTTGTAATTTTTTTAAACACATGGAACATTTTTGTAATTTATTTACTTCACAAGGGCTAAGCCTGCCAACATAAAAAATCTTAGACATAAGGATTGTTTTCGTAAAATAAAAAATAAAAAATAAAAAAAAAACACTTTACAACGACCTTTTCCAAAAATTAAAAAAATACAGGGACTAAATATGTTAAAATATAAAATCTTTGTTACGAGGAACTTTTGTCAAAATGTAAATCCTTTGCGGCAAAACTCCAAAAATAGAAAATATTAGGGTGCGTTTAGTTGCGGAAAAATGGGCCGTTTTCCCGAAAATTTTTCTAAGAAAAATAAGAATTTTGAAAACGCGTTTAGTTCGTCTATTTTTCTAAATTTTTCACGGAAAATGAAAATTTTTCGTTTTCTAAAATTACGAAGAAGTTGAAAATTTTTGGAAAAACCAATAATTATTGTTTTCCATATTTTTCTAATTCCAAATTTTTTTCTAAAAAATAAACACACACTCATTCTCATCTCTACCTACCCCCACCTCTACACCTCCAACCCACCACACCCCTACCTACCCAAACCCACCCGCTCCCTAGCCCACCCCTACAAACACACACACAAACACAAACACACACCTACCCCA